ATTTTCTGAGAGTGACCCAGCATATTGCACTTTAATGGAGTACTCAAGTAGAATTCGATGCAAACTCCTTTCACAAGAGGTTCACCGCATCGGAAAATCCCCGAAATAGGTCATCAACCTTCAAATAATTTTCTAAGTACTTCCCATCATGTCGATCCTCTCAGAATTCTATCAGTTTGGATATAAATTTTTCCTTCTCTTTCATTTTCCTTTTTCCTTATTCTTGGTAGTAAATCGGGGATTTCGAGAGTTTGACTTTTTTCAAAGCGCGAATAAGATTATATACTCAGGGAAGTGACCTCTTCAATCAGTTTGCCCAACGAGTTTCAGATACTCCTATTTTAGAGTCCAGTGAGGAATGGTTTCATGGCACGTAGCGATGTATCCACTGCACCTCAATTCCGTTTTCTTCGGGGTTCGTTGTTCAATTTTTTTTTGCCTCGCTATTCCAAATGTTTGAGAACATGATGAGTGATTAGTTTGCTCAGTCCGAATCAAGGATTTTGGCGGAATTTAAGTTCAACTTCGGCAAGAATCGGAAGTATTCGGTGTTCATCGCCAACCAATCATATTGAATTCATAAACAGACCTTCAGATTTTATAGTGCTATTTCGGAAATTTTATAGATCGTCATACGATTAATTTCACCGGAATTTTTCTTGGACTTTTCTCTCCGTGTACGGGCATACGAGAAACAGTATTTCACGTAGACATTACAGAATTTCTACAAAAAAAAAAAAAATAGGAGATTGTACAAAAGTTCATTACCTGAAAGGTGCGTGCGAAGAGGATTGACTGAAGTAGAAGCTCAGTTCTGGGGGTTTAAGTGACCCCACCGGCATTGTAGTACCTCACCCCAAGAGAAAGAGGGGGCGCACCCAACGGTGGGGGTGTCTGCCCACCAGCCGACTCGGTAACTACCTCAGTATAGTGAATATTGTCAGAGGAGTAACCTCGGCCGTAACCCCCACTCTCCGAAATCCCCACTTGTGGCCGTGCTCCCCACCAGTCGAGCCGAACAAAACCGAAGTTACTTCTTTGGTATACTGAATATTACCGAAGGAGTAACTTCGGTTTTGTTCGGTTCGACTGGTGGGGAACACGGCCACAAGTGGGGATTTCTGAGAGTGGGGGTTACGGCCGAAGTTACTTCTTTGGTAATATTCAGTATAATATTCAGTATAGCAGTCCCGCTGTCAGAGGGACCAATCGACTGGGTGAATTTTATTTTTTGAAAATTTCGCATTTTTCAATTTCAGTGAATACCTCCTCAATTTTCATACTCCCCCCATACTTTTTTGAAAATTTTGAATTTTCAAATTTCAGTGAATACCTCCGCAATTTTCATGCTCTCCTGATACTTTTTCAAAAATTTCGAATTTTCAAATTTCAGTGAATACATCCTCGATTTTCATGCTCTCCGGATACTTTTTTGAAAATTTCGAATTTTTCAAATTTCAGTGAATACCTCCTCGATTTTCATGCTCTCCTGATACTTTTTCAAAAATTTAGAATTTTCAGTGAATACATCCTCGATTTTCATGCTCCCCGGATACTTTTTTGAAAATTTCGAATTTTTCAAATTTCAGTGAATACCTCTTCGATTTTCATGCTCTCCTGATACTTTTTCAAAAATTTCGAATTTTTAAATTTCAGTGAATACCTCCTCGATTTTCATGCTCCCCTGATACTTTTCGAAAAATTTCGAAATTTCAAATTTCAGTGAGTACCCCCTCCATTTTTATGCTCCTCTGATACTTTTTTGAAAATTTTTCATTTTTCAATTTCAGTGAATACCAATTTCGTAACACATAAAATAAAATTCACCCAGTTGACTGGTCCCTCTGACAGCGGGACTAGTCAACTGGGACACCGGGGCAGCGGGACACCCCCATTGCGTGTGGCGCCCTCCCTCTCTTGTGGTGCAATATACTACGATGCCGCTGCGATCACTCAAACCCCCAGAACTGAACCTCTACTCAGTCAATCCTCTTTGGTTGCGTGCATGAACATTGCTGCCGACTTCCGGAAGCTCCGCAGTCACTGGGAATCCCCGCGCTAGTATTTTCCCTGTAACCAAAGCGCTCAGTGTAAGTAAATGAACTCCGGATGCCAAGAGTAGAAATAACTCGGGAATGAAAGCATATCTCGGGTTTCTGCAGCCTGATATTCACCAGCCTCTGATCTAAGAGGACTCTTTATATGTCTCTATCAAAACAAACGACCTTCTCATGCCTTCAATAGACTTTCTCAGTCATCACTCAAATGAACTTTAAATTGAAACTCTTAAAACTCCATAATTTATATCAACGAGTGGGGAATAACTTTCATTGCATATAGTATTATTTTTTATATTGAATTAGCGAAACTCGTATAGCCTCGAAACTATCATTTCAATCTTAAACAAAAATCTGGGAAAAAATCCAGTATTCAAATATTTCCAAAGCACGCATTTTCCGCAATCTTTGCTATATATCCATGGAACGATTATTATTATTATTTCTGTCATCGAACTTGCTTAACAAAATACCGAAACAAATTTTATTACCCATCATTGCAGTATTTCATAACAATTTTTTTACAGTCATCGTATAAAAAAAATCATTTCTGCGAGTTAAAAAAATTTATAAATTAATTGAATGTTCATTACCCTAAATATAAAAAATAAAAATGCTTTAATTTCTCGGATGCACAGATACCCAATCAGAATTTAAGTTTACGAAATTTGTTACATATATATACGTCCAAGGTTTGAAAATTGAATTGCCTTTTCATTTTGAATTGCATTATGCTAAGATATAAAAAATTGCAAACTTAAATTTCATCGATTACAAGCTTCCACCCAAAACCGAAGAGAAGTTTCTCATTAAATTAATTCAATACGTTTCATCTAGCCACAGAATTATCCAATCATTAATTCATCGCTTCATAACTCATTAATCCTTTTCCTCACAAAAACATTCGTTATAAACGAGATCCAAGATGCAAGGATATTTCATCCACTCATCTATCCACTTGCCTGCTTTCTCAGCATCGCCATTATTCCATTGCTTTGTATTCCATCAAATATACTCTAGAGAATTACTACAAACCACTGAGCGATTATCCTGCACCGACCATTACCACCTCGCAAGTATACTCAGTGTCAATGAGGCGAAGGCATTTACACTCGAGAACTGGAGAATGAATTTTCATAGAGAATGCGGTATAAAGGCCGGGGGCAGTTTAGTGAGCTTACAAACCACTCTATATCGCTCCTAAATCTATTCAAACCATCGACTACAAGTACTCAACATAACGACAAAACCCTCTGGAATTTCCCTCGAACAAACTCGTTGAACAACTATTATTAATATCGTATTTCCACAATTATCGTACAAATACTTTACTCGTACTCTCTTCTCTCAACCTCCGTCAGCCATTCTTATTTTTTTCCCACGATTTATCGTCCCCGTCTTTGAAATATCCTCAGAAATAATATAAACATCCAGTTGAATCGCGAGTATCGTAAGAAATTTCTGAATACCTTTCACCAGAATGGATTTCAAGCATCGTTTAACTCCAACCCGTATCCCAAAAGCAGGCCAGCTTAACCGTAAAGATCCAGAGAGAGAGGTCAACTGTTTTCTCAACGAATACTGGCAGCTTGCCGAGTATTGATAGCAAGAAAAAATTATTAATTATTGGTTGAAGTGGGAGGGAGGGTTTCACTTCAAAGGAGAAGATGGTTGAGGACTTGAGTATCAACTCATGTCCAGTCGCTCTTCGGAAATTGGCCAAATGGTTTATTGGTATGCAAACACATCAACTGCATACCAGGGTGGCCACTCTACCAAATCACGAATATTCGAACTCAGGGTTTTCCTCTGGAGGTGAATTTCTCAGGCCATTTCTATGTGCTTTCGGTGCGCATAAAGCTCGAATTTGTCACGAGGGCAAAAGCGTGTAGAGATATTTGCACGAAATGGAGACTGAGGTTATATAGCTCCGTCTCACGATTCTAGGAATTTCTGGTTGCATGTAGGGGTGGGGGCTAAAGTGAATCCTGACGATCGAGCGGTGAATAATTCTGGGATAAGACCTGGACGTGAGGAGGAAGTGGTGTGAGCTTGGCCTAGTCTTCTATCCCCTTTTTAGGGCATTTTTATCTGTCGCTGGTCGTCATGGAGATGACACCACACCGGAGCTCTAGATCAGCTGGATATTATACTCGAATTGTAAAAATTGATAATAAAGAATTTAAAAAAAAAAGAAAAATCGAGGTGATCGCGATAAAATCTGAGGTAGATATCAGGCAGTACTTTACTGGATAGTAATTTTTCTCAGTCCTGCAGTTTACACCGAGATTTTAAAGCAGCCCAGTAATTCAGAAAGCATGACTTCTACTTGTTGATGCATTTGCCCCGCTGTCAGCAAACTTCAATCAGAATTACATTGATTGCTTACCGAAATGTCAGTAATGAATTCGGTGATACCTTCGGGTGATTCATGTCGACTGATTATCATAATTATTCGTGACTGGAGGATATCAATGGCGTCGGAAAATTAATCAAAACGGTAGAAACATGAGGTAGAGCCCAGAGAGTTGAGGCTATTATTCTCAACCTATTCGATCAATCGATCGATCGTTGACATTCCCAGCACGTAAGCATTAACTCGGTGTGCAGGTATGTCTAAGTGTCATCGAACGGTCGGATGTATACGATGAGCCCGAATAATAGTGGGTACAGGTACGATAACGAAGATCCACACGGATTATATCAAGATCGTGCGTACATTTAAAGAGGTGGTGCATGTACTGCCATGCTCCGTACAATATTCATACTGACTCAATGAGCCCTGGTAATGAATATCAGGAATATGAGAAATCATTGGGGAATGAGTAAACTAATATTCTCGTATACTAGCTGATATCGCTACGTTAATGAACGCTAGATATGCATGCATGAGTTGCTCAATTAGTTCATTGGATCGATAAATTGTTGGCTCTCACGTTCTAGCTGGTGAAGGAATGGTGCTCAAGCTCGATTTCCGGGACCGCTTTGATCTTGAGGCTGCCAAAGACAAGGAAGATTGCAAATATGACTTTCTCGAGGTACGAGATGGGATGTACGGTTATGCAACACTAGTCGGACTCTACTGTGGCAAGTCATTCCCACCGGAAATCACGTCCAAGGGGAGGTACCTGTGGTTGCATTTCCACAGTGATGACACTATTCAGTATTGGGGATTCAAGGCCATATGGACTACTGTGCCACGACCAACTACTCGTAAGTTTCGGTGATTTTTATGGTGTGTAAACAGCTCAACGTGATTTTCTTTTTTTTTCTGCTGATCTGGACTCGAGTACGTCTCACTTTTATAGCGTACTCAGCTCTCTGGCAATTTAAGCACTGGGTATATATGTTCTCATAGTGAGGATTACCAGTGTACTCTCATACTCGTGAGATCACTCAGTTTGGAAATGCACATACCCTGAAGGGATGTATCCCAAACACAACGGCAAAGTCGTACCCTTCATTGAACTGTCATATTACATTTCCTGGACTGCTGAACTATACTTGACTGTTAATGCAATCACCAGTTTACCCAAATAGTAATGTATTACGAAAAAAATTCCTCTTGCACTTTTTCCATTCTCATAATTGCTAATTACTCATTCGAACTCTTTTAAACTCCAAATGACCCTAATTAGCAGTTACTTCATATTCAATTATCGAAATCAACAGACCAATTACGGGGCTTAATGAAATGACGAGAGTCCACCGACAATGGGTGGATCCACGTCCACTGCAGATGCATTTGTGTCACTGAAATTAATTCGTTCAGTCAGCATCAGGGTAAAATGCCATTAATATGTCCCAATGATAATTCCTTTTTTAAACTCATCCACAATCTCTGGATAGCTTCCAATTTTCATGTATAATAAAAACAGACATGGGAGTGCACTTTCGGGGAATTCAGAGTTGTAATAGATTTGATTCACAGCTGGAGTGCCACCAGAAGCTGAGCCCTGCATTAAGTACGTGACTCACGAATATGATGCGGCAATCAATAGTACGCAGATTGAAAAAGAAAGGGCTCTCGCCCAAAAAACTGCACTACCACTAGACTGTCTTTGGATTGTTGAGGCAAAACCAGGATGGACGGTAAATTTTTATTATTTTCTCTTCTCATTCATTCAAATTAAAATCATACACTCAAAATATTTCAACGTAATCCTTTCATTTGTAATATTTAAAAAAATAAAATAATTATATAATATTTTGTAACATTTTTTCGGGCTAATATTATTATTGAATAAAATTTAGAGCGGCCACACGCTACATTGTTCATTGTTCCGTGCGATTGGGATTAAAATGATTGAATACATAATTGAATATAAAGTTATTTTTAGAATTCAATGAGGGAATGAAACTTTACAGATGAATAAATCAATTCACTCCCGACTAATCTGCCAAATGAATGAACACTAATTCCAGAATTCTCCATATTTAAAATAGGATCTGAACGGAATTACCGAAGCTTCCCATAATATATTTGAAATTCCATTTCCGTTTCCCATTAATGGCTGTATTTTACAGATGCAACTGAACTTCGAGTACTTCAACCTTGATAGACCAAATGACTGCGACGCAAATTTCATGTCTGTATTTGACGGAAGAACAGAAATGACATCACTAGTAAAAAATTTCTGTGGAAGTATCGCCGAAGCCCTTGCAACAAAAACCAACTTAATGTACATTCGAATCTACATGGAGCCCAAAGCCATCAATGGTACCTTCAAATCGCTCATGACAGCTGTACGAGCCAAGGATGACGGTGAGATTAATTCATCCTTACTAATCAGCTAGAATAATGAATTGATAATTTATTCACACAAATCACACGATCTCCCTACAATCTTTGTTGGAATTAACTCAATCTATCACCGTAAAGCGAAATAATGCAGGCTTTGTAAATTACTAGTATTACCGCATCAGTTTCAAAAGGGATAGGAATGTGTCATGGGATGTATCACAATGAAAATCAAAACGCCTGACACACTGCAACGTGCAATTGCATACTTCAGGCCGTATAGAATTTCTCTGTACACAACAGAATACTGAAACAATTTCAATAATATCGATCACGCTTAAATTTCACCATACGATATCAATTTTAAATTACTCACGAACACCACCGACTAGTAATCATGTACATAATGAGTATCGAATGTACCAAGAATCAATTATACATCGTTCTCATTGGCAAGGAGCAGCGATGAATTGACCAAGGATTACTGAGAATAGCAGCCGATGCGTGTGGTATTATTCCCTTATCCAATCTCCATGCTTCCCTCAATTTGCACCATCGCATACCTGTCTAATGGATAGTATTGATCCACATAGTAATGTTTAATTTACGCATTATCTCTGGCTTTTGGATATTGCTGAATTGGTTGAAGAACTGTAATTTACTTGCAGCCTGCATGGATGATGAATACGACTGCGATGATGCAACATGTATCTGGGGGCAGTTAACATGCAATAACAGGCAGAATTGTCGTCTTGGCTGGGATGAAGATCCATCTATGTGTGGGGTGAGTAATTGAATTCAGTTGAATACTTTATACAAATTTGGAGAAATATTTTAAAGGCTGGCTTGGGATTTTTTATTATTTTTCTTTGATTTATTGGATTTTTATTGATTAGATTTTATTGGACTTCAGCAGTAGACACCACGTAATCATGATTTTGTTCATGATCTACCTTCAATTTATTCCTACCTGACAGAATTCATGACATAATCATGTTTAAGCTTGTCCTGGACACTTCTATCGTAAAAATTCATGTTTTAAAATTTTTTTGTTAATTACCCATGGAATTGATGTAAAAAAATATAACGTTTTTGCGTTTTGTTATTATTTGATGGCCTAGGAAGTGTCAAAGTGGAATATTGATCTGCGTTTTTTCTGAAATTTCAAAAAGAATCACAAAACTATCCAGAAAACGCATGAGAATCATCGCGCCATCAGAAAATTCATGAGACATTAAATAAAGAAAAAAACGCAAAAAACGAGATATTTTTTTTTACATCAATTCCACCGATAATTCCCCAAAAAATGGGAAAACGTGAATTTTGACTAGAGTGAAGAGCATTTTTAATGAATCCAATTACATCATTCGGTATATTGTATAACATGAATTTTGGAAGAATTCGTACTAGTGTTTTTCCGCTTGTTAAAAAAAATCCTCATCACACGGTTATTACATTCCATTCATTTTCATGATAAAAAAGGGGGGAAAATAAAAAAAGAACCAACCAACTAGTCTTCAATTTTCATCCGGTATGCGAGCACGAAAATCTCGCTATGAAAAAATCAATGAAGCTCTTTATTGCACTCAGCGTAATGCTATTGTTATCCCGACGCTATTATCCCCGAAAAAAAAATCACCAAAAATAGGTGTCTATTGTGTATTTTTCGTGATTCCAGTGACTCTCTGGATTATCAATCACCTAATTTTCATCGGTTTTTCCAGAAAATAAATGTGTGGGTGTTTCCGACTCTTGCATTGCACAATGCTATGTATGCATTTGGCAAGAATCCAGAACAGACCAATGCATTGGAGAGGATGGTATATTAATCCATGAGTTTCTTGTTTCATGCCATGACTCTTGTTCTGTCTCATTTATTTTTTTTTTCCCTTTTTCAGTCTACCCGAAGTTATGCAATTGTAATACTTGTAGGGTAGTATTACAAGTCAGTGACTTGGGCGTTCTTCCACAGATTTTCTCAGTTGGTGTGTGGTACAACATCTATGACAGAATGTTCAATTTAACCGTCAAAGAGGAACCTATCTTCTTTCACCGTAGAAATTGGAATGCGGTCGTCACAGTGTCAGCAAGATCTAGCCCCGAAATAATGTCATTGACACGTACCAACTCGAGTGCCATCGAATCGCTGGCAATTTTTGCCTCGGCCATTGACTCTAGCTATCCACCTCCATTCATTCACACGGAAAAACATCAAATCATGACGCCTGAGTAAACATCACCATTAACAAATACTGAATATTTAATCGAAACGTTTTGGCTCTCGCTTTTTTTTTAACGCGGGTTACCTCTAATTCGGGTAATTGCCAGTGACAAATACACAAAGTTGTCACGGGGAAAAGGTAATGCTGACGCTAGGCCATCACAAAGTGACGTCGGTTAAAACTCCGTGAACTGATGGGACCGGTGTGATGTCTGTTCTAGTCCTGTCATGAACGCATGGGATATTTTTAGACACCCAGAGTGTGTCAATTCGAGTGGACTAATCGAATTCAATTATTTATTGAGCGAAAATTTTTGGTGGTGTCAAATCTGAAAGGACGGTTGGACATTTTAGGAATTCGGTAAAGCGTTTAATTGGATTTTTCCGTTTGTGATGCATAAAACAGAGGTACAGAGATATTTGAAATAATAAAATCGTGGACGGTCATCACAAAGAGGAAAATCCAATAGTGGACCGAGGTTTTTTTTTAACATTCAATTTTGGGAAAAATATTGATGTACTTGTTGGTCTCTTATAAATGAAGCTCAACGATTCATGAGGAACGCTGAAGATTTTAAGCATCCAATTTGAAAAACAATTTGCGAGCGGTAGGAAAAATGCGTCGGCTGTTACTTGTCATAGGTTGTGGGAAAATTTCAATTCATGTATTCCAATAATTCCAATTTTCCAAGCTGAATTTCAAAAAAGAGGGAAAAGAGAGAATAACGAGATATTACCATTCCCATCGCCCCCTCACATGGTGGAAAACGAAAAAAAATACCAAAATGTTATCATTTCAATCACCATACGTACGATAGAATCCCAAAAATGTAGCGCAATTCATTTTTTCTTTATTCGTTCTTGTTATATCATGTAACAGCAATAGTGGCAAGTTTCACATCTAGAATTCGAGTTATTCCAGTTAAAGTTGAAATTTTCTCATGCATATGCATCCCACCAAGTGTTGAGGGTTTCAGAATCCATCGGAATATCACGAGCCAGTGCTTTGTTTCCGAGATGTTCCATTATCCGCTGTTTCGCGGTTTGAAGCCACACTGCGTATTTCATTCATCGTCGCATTAGCATTTGTCAGGTACAGCAGAAACACCAACTAGCGACGACAAAAAGCCTCTATACCCCCAGATTCTTGTCGTTGAGAAATGCACAGTGAACTTTATGTGGATTTTCCATGTTACCTAGTTCGATGAATCCGTGAAACGCCAACGCTGGACCTTTGTGTCTAAGCTCACTAGGGAATGAGAGAACCAGGGTTTCGACATTCGTGCCACTGGTGTAATCTCTCGTGACTATTTCGCTGACTATCCCCTCGCTTTGGCTATTCTTTTCTAACCAAAACCCCACCATAATCCTCTTACAACGATATAATTAACACAATGTGCAATTCACGATTGGTATTTGAATTTTACTGATATCCCACATTTAATCCAAACATTTGCTATTCTTTAAAAAAAATTAAATTCATAAAAATCCCTTAAAAAAATCCAATGTAACGTTTTTTGAAGCCGGTTTATTCGATATATATGTATATAAATCTATATATTTATTTTATTTTTATTCTAAAATTGAAGAAAATTTTTATTTTATAATCTCTCTGGTTCTAGCTCAGAGTCTGAATCTGAATGTTTGAATTCCGATTCTTATATCTCTATCGTTGAAAAATGAAATGGAAAATCATGTGATTAAAAATCGATAAATAACTAATTAAATATTATGAGTAGTAGTATAAGTAATTTTAAAGACATTAATATTCTTCATATGTTTATGGGTTATTTGCTTGATTCCTGTGTGAATTTCCCTTCAATATTTATTTATGAATAAGATATGCTATTTATTTTTTTTTTCAAACTTTATTGGATTTCGACATTTCATGAGACTTCAAAAGATTTCAATGTCGCCTGTCCACCAGATTTTAAGAGTGATTACCCCCTCGGACATTTTTATTTTATTATTAATTCCCATGAACTTCTCTTTAATAATCAGATAGTTTAATAATTTAGCGGGATCCGATATAAACAATCAGCTCTAGTTCGGCTAAAATTTTTTAATTAATTAATTATCTCTCTCCAATCGAATTATGACATGTGACAATTTGACCAGTGACATCGCACTTCAACGATCACTTGATTGAATTTTTAATTTCCAATATTCAATGATTCCGCATTCCCCCACTGATATTATCATTCGTGCCTCGCAAAAAAAAAATTAAATTTAGCCAAAGGCAAAGTGAGAACCCGTTCCTCATGTTTCATCGTTTCTATTATGAAAATAATGAAATAGAAACACAAAAATGAAGTTCGCCCGAGTCGAAATATCTCGAACCGCGTAGGTCTAATTCCTCATTGGTCGAGTCGAACCGCCAAATTCAAATTCGGCGCACGGAGTGCGCAGTAGATCTCGTGAAGAATAAAAATAGAGATGATAATTAATTTGACGAGTTATTACTACCAAGTGAAACGTCTCTTTTTTTACAGAAAGGAAAATCCCTGGCACTGGACTCCACCCGCATCGTCGTAATCCTCGTGGTCTTCGCTGTGATAATGTTCGGCCTGACATTCGCCTTCCTCTTCAACTGCATCCGAAAAATCATTAGCGATCACCGTATAATACGGGTAAGTAATCCTCATCATCGATACCCCATAAAATTGAATTATATTATTTTCATACGAGTCGCTGAAAATTGCTGTCTTCCTAGACGTATCCAATCTGAGCTTTATGAAGGTTTTTTATTTTACTACAAAATCGATAATATCGGTGCCAATAAAATAGTGACGATAGTTTACACTTTACGACGTGCCATCAACTCTCCAAAGCTCGCAAAAATATAGATCTAGCCTTCTGATTCTAGACGAAAAAAACTGGAAAACTTCTAGCCGAGTCGTACCACTGACAATTTAATTGAATATTCCACCCAAGAGAGATGGAAGTCGTTAGAGAGTATAAAGGGATTGCTTCACACACCAGTAAATTGTGTTGCAGGAACACATAAGACAGTCACGGGAGAATCGTTTGGATGAGATTGGACGAAAGTCAACTCCTTGTCCGATATCCGTGTCACAGACGGACATTCGTCAGCACGGTAGTGATTCACCGAGTCTTGAAATTGATTCAAACAAGGAGTTGATACCAACAGCGACAATAATAGCTCACGAATACACCAAGGACTTGGTACTCGAGATGACATACAACGCCAATGACATAATTGACATACATCAGAGTAACAACGTGAGTAACGCAACGCAAGAGCGCCTCCAGGAAACCACGGATGAGCCCCAGATGTGTGACAGTTCGTGTCAAACGCGCGAGAGTCTTTTTGACCCTCGTATACCGGAGCCAGGTGCCCCATCCCCAGCCTTTTCAACATTCGGCTACAGTAGCATTAGTGGCTCTCGAAACGGTGTACATCCGAGCCTCAGGCAATCCTCACGTAGTCAGACATACAACTCTCCAAAACCAACTCACGGTAGCACATCAAAACCCCCAAGTGTATGCTCTAGCTGTAGTCCAGCATCCAGAGGAAGAGACGCAAGTGGAACAATATGCCCCAAACACGCCCCAATTCCAGCACCTCCCGGATGGTCCGTCCACGATCCACCATACGTTGCTGCTATTCCAACGCATCCTGAAGATCCCGAGTATCTCACTTATCAGAGATATCAAAGCCCAAAACCCGAGAGAGATGGCAAATCGTATCAACCGGGTATTGTTAAACAGAGGACAATTGGTTCTGGTGAAAAATACGGTAGTTTTCTATACGGATCGGAGAGAGGATCGAGTAACACTGCCAGTAATACTAATACAAGTAGCTCTCAACACTCCGGTACACCAAGGTGTCAAGTTCCTGATCCGCGTTATCGTGCTGAAGCAGTTATCGAGGTTGACCAAAGAAGGCCTTTCAGCATAGAGAGCACCAAAAGTGCTCCTGATGTCATTGCCACACACTGACACCGGGAACCAGGGGGTTGGGAGCCGTACAAAAGACGCCATCCCCGTCAGAAAATAGACAACAATGAAATTCACAATACCTTGAATTCAATTGTAACGGTGAGTGTTGGTACACAGAGTTCTCTCGATGATATATCAAAATCATCGATACACGAAATTTCATCGTCCTGATCCACGTGTCCTAACGCATTCCGTCCTGGGAGTGTTCATCAGCCTTCCACTGGTTTACTGGATGATTTACCAATTTTAATACCGCCCGAGGAGTTCAGGTCACCAACCATGGTGCTTCGGCGTTATTGTTGTCATGGCCATTCGCATTCTACTACAGAAAAGCCAATCATGCCTTGCTGTTTATTAAAACGCTGTGACCAGGATTCGTACCGTACGTGGCCCAGGACGACGATGAAAAATCCAAGAGGAAAATCAAAGAGGCAGAATATAGCTACCAGTGCATCTGGTTTATGTCATACACCATCTGATATTGATCGATCTGTCTGGACTATCAAATCAACGGACAAAGCAGTAGACGATGTTGGGGCTTCGATACCTTTTTGATTTCATTTAATCCAATTACCAGGCGCAAAATTGTTCGCAAGGAATTATCAAAGGGACTGCGCATAATGAAAGACTTTGGGTTCAACACGAACGTACAAAAGCCAATTGGACTTTATTGATTTATCACTTGTTTCTTTTTTTTTAACTTTTGCTTCCAGGCTGTCACTGCCGAATACAGACTTTCACAAAGTGCTGTTTGAGATTTATTCTCGCATTGTTAGGTATTTAATAGGTCCACATATCGCGCGTAGATTAATAATCTGAAAGAACTTGAACAATCGTTATTCTGTTTTTTTTTTTAAAAGTGGATAAGAGAAAATTTTATCATTTTTTCTTTTATTACTCTAGAAAAACTTATCGACCAATCATCCATGGAGATAATAAAATTTTTACTGAAGAAAAAAGTTTCGGCGATTGCCGCAGTTTCGACTTTCCCACGCCATTTATCGATTCCTAAACATTTCAACCATGCATGAGAGTAAACTTTTGGCGAACTGCGATACAATTTAAAATGAATGAGATTGTCTGATTGCAGATTTATACAAAACTTTGTGACTACTAAATTTTAAACAATCTATTTTTTCACGTTAGGTTTGAGCCGAACGAGCGAAAATGAGAGCACGTGAAATAAACAAAAAGATCATTTTCTTTATCATGTACAGATGAACCTTTAAATAATATCCAATCAGTCAACTCCGCGTTTTCAATTGGTTGGATTTAATTGTTGATTATTTGCAGGGTTTTACGCCATTGACAGTGTATTTGTTTATTCCCACGGATATAAATGAGAAATACAATCGATAATGGTGAATAGTGTAAATGCTATGCATATATTTGTATAAATTTTATTCGACTTTAACACTTTCGAATCAGATGAGTCAAGTGGTATTTATCCGGTTTTAGTCAATTGAAGGACCTAATTACATCGTTTTAATTGCACGTGGATGACGGCCTATATTTCATTACAAGGTAAATGATTTAAATGAATTATGGTACCCATTGCCCACGAGATGGATGCTGGTGTGAGCTATCCGCTTTATTGTACAGGTGAATTTTAACACACAGGGTGTAAACATTTGTATATAATTATCTATAACAGGCATCCGCCAATGTGATGCTATTGACGAATAAATAGAATACTTTAGAATAATTGTGTCTATTTTTTTCCCTCAAGATTTATATTTCCATTTTATAATGAACGGTTATTCCATTTTAAAAATATATAATCAAATAATTATAATAATATACTATTAAAGAATAAATTATATAAAATATTTTACGGAAAAATAATTGTTTATAAGAAGGGAAAATAGTATATGGAGGATATATTGAATATTTTCTCGGGGTTAAGAAAGTGTATAAATAATTTATTGAGTAGAGTTGATAAAATTTAATTTTTTTATAATAATAGATTTTTCATTAACGAATATTTCAATAATTGGGAATTAGAAAAATCAAATCAATTCAGAAATTATAATTATTATTAATACACGCTATGAATTTAAAGTCTCAGTGGAAAATTCCAGCTAGAAATTTTCAACAGTGGAGTGAACAAGAATTATGAGTTATATCTCGCAGGTGGGCAGCAGGCGCTAGACATTTAGCTGCAATCCAGTGTCAACTAGAAATAAGATAACCCATTTATCATCTTTACTTGACTAAAAATTCAGCAAACAGGAGAATCTAGGGCAATTTATTTCTTCCCAGCCAATAGTTTTCCTGAGTCTTCGTAAAACGATACGTTGCGTCAATAGCAATAATGACAATAACTGAGTCCCTGAATCTGCTCAACGAGTGAATTATCAGCGAGTGGTGTTGGGTATAGCTCGAAAATCTTCGTCTGAAATGTAAGAATAAATTTAGCATATAATCCAGTGAATTAACTGTCTTCTGCAGAGTAATCCCTGTAACGTTGGATGGAACGTTAGTAAGTGCTTGCCACAGCGCTTCTGCAAGCGAGTCTCCACAATAAAATACAGGTGGATATAGAGATACCCACGTTTTGGGAATATCAAGTAAGACCCTGTGAAATTATTGTCCCGGTGTTTCGGGAGAATTGCGAAATTTTGGGGCATTTGTTGGGGTTGAATTAATGGCCTTCAGTGATTTAAAAGAGGATGATTACAGAACACTCTAAAGTTGGTGAGTTATTACGACATAAAAAGGTACATGGAATTATCACGCAGTGAGATTTTTTCATGCGTTTATCAAATGTAATTACATCATCGTGTAAAGCTGGGATCGTCTGAATGTACCCATCAAAAGTAATGAGACTTGACGAATTTTTTTTTATCAAAAGAACGAAATTAGAGGATTCATAGGGTCATGATTACAGACGAAATATATCGAATTAAATTCAAAAATTGACTATTAAATGTAGATGAGGTCACGAGGATTGGGTAGGACGCGAAAATTAAAGGAAAGGAAACGAGGCAATTCCATTTAACGATCGGTAGTTAGATAGCTTAAAATTCATGAGCGATAGCAACAATCAAGGATAGAGCTACAAAACAGTTTCAGAAATGAAAATGCCTCCATTATTATCCGATTCAAAAATCATTTACAAGAAAGTGTACTTGAAGATAAGTTGGGATCTCATTTCATCACTCTCGTAAATGCTTATCAAGCCTTCCGACAATTAAACAATCATTATCATAAAATGTCTATGGACTCCGAAAGCGATTTTCCTCCTCGAGGGCCCAGTAAAATATAATGAGCTTCACCCAAGAATCAGGAGAACGTGAATATGCAAAATCTTGAGGAAAATTCAGCAATAAAAGTTAGGCATATGGCACCTCGTCTTCTCGATTAAAACTGCATAGAGCAATAACAGAAGTGAAGAAAGAAATAAGCATGCAGCGTCGGTTCAATGTGAATTCAGAAAGTTGGGAATGCATAAAGAGTCTTTCCTCATGCATTTTCCACGAAAAGTTTACCAGCAAGTGGAAGCAGAATGTGCGAAGAGAAAAAAAAAGGGGGGGTGTTGTTTTAGACCACCAACCGGTGAAAACAATGGAGAACTCAAGGTAAGAGAGGAACAAGTGTTTACGAAAAAAAAAAATAGAAGTGAGAGAAATGAAATGGACTTGAAACAATCGAATGGATGAGCTTGACGAAGCTGGGGGCTTTTCACTCAAATTTCAAGTGAACTTGCACTTCTTGGTGGTACGAGTTGTTGAGTGTAGTGGTACATAACGAAGACGAATAGGACCCGACGGGGTTTACCGTCATCCTATTCTCAGGGCGTTCGTTTTAGTCTCAGCTTCAGTAAAACCTACCTCTATCTCTTCCGCTTAAAGTCTACTGCATATTATGTTGTAACAATTAAACCCTCTGCATCATCATTTTATCCCATTGTTGTACGTTCTCAATTCCATCCATTAAAGTGATTGTTCCAGGGAGTGCTACCAACAAAATACATTTAACAAACTGTTAAGTTAACTGTTAAAATGTTGTTTGATGTTTCTGTTACAATATCGCATGAATTTTCTATTTTACGAGTTTAAATTTGATTTTTAACTCAAGAAAATTCAATATCCAATACAATTTTATGTTTATTTTGTTTTTTTTTTATTAATTATTATAAATATAGGTGTGTGAAGTTTTTTACAATTTTTTATGGATTGAACATTCTGGGAAATTGTTACTTGAATTTTCGCGGTAATTAATGGAGTCGTTTATTACTTCTACAGTAATTTCAAGTGTAATTTTCCAAGAGTACTGCAAGAAAATGCACATAATATATATATAATAATATATATTACACATAATGCATGCACATAAATATTTCCCATTCGATTTTTTTACTGCCAATAAAATTCCCGAAGATGTATTTTATATATTTCTATATTCAATTATTTAAGTCTAGTTTCGAAATATTATTTTAATAACGAAAATCTTTTAGTTTCGATTTGACAAGAGATATTGTCCGTATATT